CGGTACGTGATTCAGAGCGTGTAGGCCCCTGTTTCTCATACTTCGCACCGTGTGACCGAAGAGGTGAAAAAAAAATTTTACGGTAGGACCGAAAATATGAGCTCGATACTAGTTATATAATGATAGGATCAAGAGAGGCAATGCGTGCTATAATTGGCTTCCGAATACACCAGACTTTCAGAGGTATATTAAGAAGAAAAAAAAAAGAAAAGCTTACCTGGTGGTGTCGCCTTATTATAATTATTATTATTATTACTTAATTAATTATATTGATCTTAAATATTCCATCGCTCATGGAGAACACGTCGGAAGTCATGGTTTTGCGCGCGACGCCGTTGTTAACGACGTTAATGTAATATTAATACTGTAATATTATTGCCATCGTTACTACTGCTGCTACTATCGTTATTATGATTATTACAAGTATTATCGTTAATTTTACCACTATTGTAATAATTTATAATCCGTACCAACACGACTGTCTTTATCGACAGTATTGTCATTGTAAGTATTACAATTTCTATAATAATCCATTAACGGCTAGCATAAAAAAAAAAGAATGAAATTTAGGTAACTCGGTGGAAATGAATTCTTTACGGGTGCTGTTTGCTGCGTCTCTTATGATCATTGTCCAGCACTATTTGTTGGCATTAATAGGAGAATTACTATAGCCATAAATTCACGCAATTTTCGTTTCTTTTTGTTTCTATTTTCTTCGTTGGCATTGTGTTCGCTGGCACACAGTAATCGATTCGCCTTGAACGTAGATAGATATGATTTATTGTCGACGAGTTATGCCAGTTCTAAATCAAAAGGATATTTTTAAAACGCTTTACTTCAGCGTTTTGTGTGCGACATTATATATGTATATATATACACATTTAGCACGCCCCGTTTTGAGTCGAGAATACATATTCGATTGCATATTTTCACTTCAGAAACTTTCTTCAACCACAATTTCTCTATTTTGGTAAATATCTGAATAATAGATCACGAAAAAACTCTACGTGAACTTAATGGTTATTACACGTGATAAAGAAACAAAAAAGAAGAAAATAGTGTTTCCCTTCGTTTCTTCGAAATCAACCAAGAAAAAAGAAGAAGTTAGTAACTCGACGAAATAATTGATCCTTGAGAGAGAAAGCGTGCGTTCGATTAAAAAAATGTACAAACGTTTTATTGCTCAAACGTCCATGCTTGCTCGTAAGTACATGTAAAATGTTGCTTGTGTAAATGGCGCACGGGTACAGTCTGGACATAATAATCCACACACGTACCTGGCCACCCATTCAGAGAGTTACAGTGATATTGTGCTGTGTGTTTCTCCACGCGCTTTTGTACAGAACCGCGCATCGAGCGCGCCTTATCGATAACTCTTTGGTCGTAAGCGCCACTTCTGCGTACTTCTGTTAAATGAACACCGTGCGTGTTTGCCCCCGTTCGACGCTCGCGATCACACGATCGAGCATAAAACGACACAAACGGGAAAGAAAAGAAAAATTATGACAGAACAACGATCCATCGAATAATAAACAAAAGAACACAAAATAATATAATGAAAGAAGCACCGGAGGGAGGGCTCGTTTCGAAGTCTCGTTTTCTCCAGGTCCACCAGACGTGTTTTTATGTACAGGGTCGCTTCACTGAAGCGAGGTATATTTAATCGTCCGCTTGGGATTTGACCGAGGGAAAGCAGAGAAGAGGGCAGCACTGTCACTGACGGGGGTTTTTGTTTTTTTTTTCTTTTTATCGTTCGTTGGACTTCGATATGATGTATGCTTCTTCCGATTACTTCGGCGCCTGACTTCCGTAATCTACGTATACACGCACGACCTCACCGCTGTATTTACGCTGGCTGGGCATGAAGTAAAAGTCAGGCTGATTCGGCTGAGTTGACACACCGCCGCCTGCCGGATTGTGCATGTTCTTCGATCGGTGATAATGATCCCTGCGATCTTGTGTGTAGTAACCAGGTTGAATGGGTGCTGTATGCCTCGAACCTGGTGCACGTGGCAAACTGTACGTTGCTCGTGGTCCTACCATCCTATTTGGGCCTTCTACGGTATCCGTACCCAACCCGTTTTCAGTCATCTCTCTGTGACGGGGTAAACTGGAGACCGGCGGTGGTGGCGCCTTCTCCTCCGTCTCGAACGCCTCGAAAGCGAAGTTTGTGTTGGCGCCTGAAGCGTAGTCCTTCCAAGCATTACTGGCGATCAAACGATCCTGAAACAAGTGATGATTATTGTTATTATTTTATGTTAATTATCAGAACATGTCTGCTGGAAAGATGAATCTAAATGAAGATTGTATACGTTGATTTTGTTGATGTATTAATTTACGAAACAAATGAATGAAGATCATGACATAGAGGTTATGTGTTTTGTGAAATTCTCTTGGATGCTATATATTTCTTATTGCACGTCAGTTCGAGAACTGACTACGTGAGATACACACAATGAAGAAGATAACGGTAGGTGAAAGAAGAAAGAGAAAGCAAGAGAAGAAGAAGAAGAAGACTACCAGTGTAGAAATACCTGGATTAGTGAGCAAACGAGCGTACGACGAGTAATAATTTAGCGCGCCGGATCGTGTACCGAGTGTGAAGTTCTACCAGCTGGGATTAGGACGATGCATTTCATACGGAGCGTGTTGGTGATGATGCCGAAGATGATGGTGGTGGTGATGGTGATGGTGATCGCCGTTTTGTCGATGATACCGCGTCGCGTTCGTGCGATGAATCGGGTTGGGCGCGTCACAAGAAGCCAGAGGCAGCGAGTACACCCTCTTTACACAGTGATGGTCGCGGAGAGCGCGGATCATGCAACACAAGCGAAGCAGAAGGTCGTTTTTCGAGTTCATAAAAAAAAAGAGTGGAGCAGCAGTGAAGAGTTGAGTTTGAAGTGGCGCTAGTGTCTAGGCTCGGGTATGTCGCCAGCGCGATGAAAACATATTGTTTTTTCTTTTTTTTTTTAACGAAGTACTCATCATGCGTTTCTAGTCATTCAAAAAGAAACTTCTACCGTATTCTCACGAGTGTGTAATACACGGTTCAAGAAGAGGTTTCAAGCATCATTTTGCCTTTCATTCATTTCAACGGGTA